TGTGTGTGTATGTGTGTGTGTGTATGTGTGTGAAAAAAAAAATAGCTACATTATAAAGTGATGTAAAACACTAAAAACAGAAACATGTCTGTGTTGGTTTATGCCATGAACTTAGCAGATGTTTGAAGCCATTTAACATTTTATTTTATTTTTTGATTTAAATCATTAATTTAAAAGAAACAAAATAAAACTATCAAAAAGAAAAAAAAAATTGAATGAAAAGAGTGCAGAAAGAAGAAAAAAAATCGTTTTATATCTGCCCCTTATTTAAAAAAAAAAGTGGAGGAGTTCAAGAATCTTGGGGGTCTTGTTCATGAAAGAGGGAAAAATGGAGCGTGAGATCGATAGACGGATAGGTGCAGTGTCTGCAGTGAAGCGGGCGCTGTACCGGTCTGTCGTGGTGAAGAGAGAGCGGAGTCAAAAGGCTAAGCTCTCAATTTACCGATCAATCTACTTTCCCACCCTCATCTATGGTCACGAGCTTTGGGTTGTGACCGAAAGAACGAGATCTCGGATACAAGCGGCCGAAATGAGTTTTCTCCACAGGGTGTCTGGGCTCTCCCTTACAGACAGAGTGAGAAGCTCGGTCATCCGGGAGAGATTCAGAGTAGAGCCGCTGCTTCTCCACGTCGAGAGGAGCCAGTTGAGGTGGCTTGGGCATCTGTTTAAGATACCTCCTGGACGCCTCTCTGGTGAGGTGTTCCGGACACGTCCCACCGGGAGGAGGCCCAGAGGAAGACCCAGGACACGCTGGAGGGACTATGTTTCTCGGCTGGCCTGGGAACGCCTCGGGATTCCCCCGGTAGAGCTGGACCAAGTGGCTGGGGAGAAGGAAGTCTGGGCCTCCCTACTTATTAGGCTGCTACCCCCGCGACCCGACCACGGATAAGCGGAAGAAAATGGATGGATGGATGGATAAAAAAAAAAAAAAACTTTAAACAATCACTTAAATTAATCACTTTAATATCCACTTTAAAGCTAGGAATAAAAAAACAAACAAACATGTTTTGTGTTAGCAGAATTTAATTCTAACTTTAAAACTTATCCAACATTAATAAAACTTACCTCAAGTTGCCTTTTTGGTCATGCATGCATAGATTTGTACAAATTGTACTTGAGAGGAGATTATTACAGCTTCATAGAAAATCAATAATGATCATGATATTGGAAAGGTATTGGTATCGGATGATATCCAGAGTTGGGGATCGGATCGGAAAAAAAAAAAAGTGGATCGGTGCATCCTTGAATAAAACATGAATACAACATTCTCATAAAAGTCGAATCAACATGAAAACCACAGAGCTTCTGATAAAAAGACATTATCTGGTGGGCCTTCTTACAAAGTGAGTTCACATCAGAATCAAGAGTTTCTTTATTGTCGTTCACACCACATTTGGTACATGTGGTGGAATGAAATTATGTACACAGGGTCCCAGTTACATCCAACAATAAAATGTAAAAGAAAAACAGTAATAACATCTAAGATATGAACTAATAAAAACATCAGCTAAAAATACACTAAGCACTAATAGCATAAAAACATTACGTCGAAGATCAGCACAAACATGAGTCTGTGTGAGCAGATGAGCACGCATTAACACAGCAACATGAAACAGATCAGCAGCAACATGAAACAGATCAGCAGCAACATGAAACGGATCAGCAGCAACATGAAACAGATCAGCAGCAACATGATGTGATTTTTCACAATGATTATTCTGGTTAGAGATTCATGAGTCTAACAGCTTCAGGGTAGAAGCTGTTCCTCAGTCTAGTGGTTCTACACTTAATGCTCCTCAACCTCCTTCCTGAGAGGAGCGGGGCAAAAAGTGTGTGTGCTGGGTGAGTGGGGTCCTTCATGATGCAGGTGGTCCTCTTCCTGCATCTGGAGGTGTAGATGTCTGTGATGGTGGGGAGGCTGACTCCAACAGACTTCTGTGCAGCCTTCACCACTCTCTGCTAAGCTTTTCTTTCTGCAGCTGTGCAGCCTAGTTAATGACCACAGGAGCTGCAACTGAAGAGTCTTTTCTAAAATCAATGACTATCTCCTTTGTCTTGGAAACCTTTAACTTTAAAAAGGAAGACTCACACCATTCAGTCAAGTCCCCGACCACAGGCCCATTGTCTGGGTCATCACTGCTGAGAAGGGACAGGATGACAGAGTCATCAGCAAACTTTAAAATGTGCCAGAACCAGGCACCTGTGAAACTTAAAACATGTGTATAACTTTCACATCTTCAGATGGGACGCTTTCCTGTTGTTTCTATAATCATTTTATCATTATTCGTCTTTAGACAAAACATCCATCCATTATCTTTACCCACTTCTTCCTTTTTTGGGTTGCCGGGGTTACTGGTGCCCATGTCCAGCCATCACTGTCTGGGAGGCGGGGGGCACCTGGACAGGTCTCCAGTCCATCACAGGGACACATAGAGACAAATAAGACAAACAACCATTATCTCTATCACTCACACCTAGGGACAATTTAGAGTTACCAATCAGCCTAACATGCATGTTTTTGGTCTGTGGGAGGAAACTGGAGTACCCGGAGAAAACCCACACAGCACGGAGAGAACATGCAAATTCCACCCAGAAAGCCCCCCCGGCTGGGATTTTAACCAGTGTAACCTGCTTGCTGAGAGGCAGCAACTCTACCAACTGTGCTACCGTGCTGCTCTTAGACCAAACAAACTTTGTTCTTTACCAGACTTGGAGTTTAGAATATTCTGAGGAAATGGTCGGCAGATCACAAGTTAGATTTACAAGTTGAATTTTCAGCTACAACAGTGAAATTGTTGCTCAGTATGTTGCATTACATCATGTTCATTCAAATAAAAATGTTATAGTAGACATTTTTAAATGTTTCTGTGCTTTTGATTAAATGAAATCTGAGGGATTTTTTCCATGCATTTGTTATTCATCCCAGATTTTTTCTGTCTGTCTCATGCAGGTATTATACGCCCCTCCAGCAAGGGATCGCTTCACAGCTCCCTCCTTCATGCAACGTGACCATTTTAGCCGCTTCCAGCCCACCTACCCCTACATGCAGCATCAGATCGACCTGCCGCCCACCATATCGTTGTCAGATGGCGAGGAGCCCCCACCGTACCAGGGGCCCTGCACTCTGCAGCTCCGTGATCCCGAGCAGCAGATGGAGCTCAATCGTGAGTCTGTGAGGGCGCCACCCAACCGGACCATTTACGACAGTGACTTGATTGACATGGGAGGAGGTGGTGGCATGGGAGGGGTGAAAGGAGGAGGGGTTGGCGTAGGGGGAGGAGGCCCAAGGCCACCGAGCAGCAACTCGGGCATCAGCGCAGCCAACTCCAGCAGCCACGGGCGCATGGAGGGCCCCCCGCCGGCGTACAGTGAGGTGATGGGCCACTACCCCGGCTCGGCATTCTTTCTACACCAGCACAGCAATAACCAGAGAGTAGGGAGGCCGGGGGGGCCAGGCAGCAGGACGATCCAGCAGCAGAGCCAATCAGAAAGCACAATAGTTCCTGCCAAGGACTGCAAACCCGAGGACCTGGTCTGAGTAGAGACTGGGGGGGGGGGACAAACAAGTCCACACAACCCAGACTGAGAACGTCTCCCTTGTTCACCCCGCTGGTCTCTGAATCGCTCTGTTGCTCCTCGTCCCACACTCCCATGCACAACGATATATCAACATGAGCTACAACTAAATAAGGAAAGTGAAACCAAGAGTTGATTTCATGTTAAAATTTTGGGATGGGATGATTTTTATTTCCCTTCATTTTTGAAAATGAAACTGCTAGCACAGATTGAAAGTTCTTTATTTTTGCCACCTTGGCACGACCTTTTTGTCCCTGAGAACTGAGGAAGATTTTGTTTAGTTTTTATTTTTGTTCTGGTTTTACGTTACGGACCGGGATCTGTGCACAATGCGAGAACTGAGAATCCAAGACTTAACTTAGAACCCAACAAAACTAGACTCACAAACCCAAATCTTAGTGCCAAGGTTCACGAGGAAGCAAAATGAGGAGAGAAGAAAGAACATGTTCTAACATTCACAACGCAACAAAAGAAAAGTTATCGAAAAGTTGCACTACGTTTTTGTTGTAAAAGAGAAGAGGGACATGATGTCACGTGATGCTTTGTTGTAATTTCCCTTTTTGTTGTTGGTTGATTTTATTTCACTGACTGAACTCTGGCTCTAAAGTTGGGAGCAAAAAAAAGACAAACAAACAAAACTTAACAAAAAAAAACAAGTATCAGCTTATTTCCTTCCCTTTTTTAAAAACAAAAAGCGCAAGCTCTTAAACCCAGCCTACAGCGTCTCTGCTTACAACACAGGCACAGTGAAACTTAGTAAGAGAAGGACCGTGTGCTGCTTCACGTCTGTGTTCACTTCAGCCTCATCAGGGGGAGAAATCTGCCAGTGACCTGCCTCTGGGTGGATGACAGCTATTTTACAATTATCAGTCAAAAATAGTTTTTAAACTTTGCCCAGAAAAATCCTACGTAGTTACCATCTCGCTAAAGGTAGTACCTCACTGGGCTGCAGTTGGCGAACGGCATTGGATTGTCGCACATTTGTGGTGCTTCGGTTTTCTCGCATGGGTCAGTGAGGCCTGCAGTCCTCTTATAGCACACATGTGCCTCAAACCCTTCTTGGTTTCTGTCATGGGTCTCAAACACATCTCAAGAGTGCAAGAAATGTATTTTCACACCTGGAGCTTTTTTGACCAAAAAAAAAAAAAAGTCCATGCCTTAAAAACCACGACAATGATCAACAATTATTAAAAATCTGATCCAGATATTCCTGTTTTCATTTGGAAAGTGTACTCATGGTACTAATTTGTGGAGCCCGACCAATATGGAAACATTGGCCATCACCGATACCAGTATCAACCAATAAACGATATGTCTGATTTTTTTTTTTTTTTGCTTTGTCCACCCCCAAGAATCTACATAAACAGCAGTGGAGTGGGGCTTGTTTATTTAGCACAGCTGTTAGCAACCATGAAGCTAAGCCAATCAGATCCATGATATACGTAGTCCCACAATAGGTTTACAAGTAGTGCACTGGTCATAAGAACAGTGTTCCTAACATGCGTTAACATTTTCTATCCTCCAGTATTCACCATAAAGTTATCAAGTGTGTTACATAAATATAAATTAAACAAAGAAATGCCCTTCACTGTTTATTATTTAAACAGTCCCGTATGATGAAGGGCTAAATAGTATTGACCACAGCAGCATTCTTTTTTAAAAATAATCTTTGCAGAGAAGTAAAGATTTCAGACAAACCATGCATTTCATAGAGGACGACAAAAATAACGTTTCTAACACAGATGTATATTTATCGCTACGTTAGATATATTGTTCTGGATAAAATTTTACAAGGCAATAGCCTATGCCTATGTAAATGTAAGCTTGTTCATTTGAGAGGCGCATAACTAATGACAAGAAGGTCGGAGGATTGAAGATAATTTATTATTGATTTATTTTACAGATCAGTTAAAATAAACTTGCCATGCTCTGTATTGCTCTCTGCTTCATCTGTGCTGAAAGTGAAACTTGAGTGAACGTCCATGACTTGAAAGTAGTCTTCATGCGTCCTCTGCTGGATGCATTGTACAATTACAGCTGTTTCCAGCATTTTAGGGGTTAAAATTAGAAGTTCTTATATCAGCACATAATGGGACAATTATCACCAATATTGATAGGTCCCCGAGGGCCTATATTGGCCTAAAATATCAGCCCTACAAATATATCGGTTGGGCTCTTCTAATTTGTAAACATGAGGATGGCTGCCATAGTAGGTAATGAAATATTGTGCATTGTGTACCGTATCTTTTTGTGAAATGTGCGCTCAAAAACAAGCCATGGTTTTCAGAAACTGGCCACACATCTTGCTGGTCATTTGGTCTCAAACAGAATTAAGTGAGATCACGGTTGAAAAGTTGCTCATTTCAATAATGAGTCGCCAATTTGTCTCTATCTGTTGCAGCCCAGCAGGGCACTACCTTAGATTAATTTCATGCTCGAACTCTGTAGCCAAAACAAAAAATAGACGGTCCATTTAGAAGCCAGGTCCAAGCAGATTGTTCTTGTCCCGTTTCTCCTGACCTTTGAGCACCTGACACTTTGTTTTATCTCCCGTCTTGACCTGCACAACATCCACATGGAACTCAAACCCCTTCCACCCTAAAGGCTTACTTCTCCTCCTTCACATCAACAATTCCACCAAAATGGAGGAGAAAAAATAAAACTCCACAAAGATTCCCTTGAACAAGGGTTCCACAAAAACTGACTGCAGTCAAAGTCAAGGGCTATCTGAAAGTCCTTTTTTTTGTAATGGAAGCTCAAAAACTTTTTTAAAAAATAGCCTTTTTCCAGCTCATTGTTGCCTTCTCCTCTGCTGTTGTGCTTTCTTTGTTTCTATTTTGTGCATCCCTCCATTTTCCTTTCCGTTTCCTGCTTTTTAACAGTAACAGTGGCAAACGCTGGTCATCGTTCCGTTCCCCCTGCCATCCATGTGCAAAAAAAAAAAAGTGCTCAAATGATGCAGAGTCAGCCAAGCCCTTTAAAGTGGAGATTGAAGCGAAGTTGTCGTTTGGCAGCATGCTGGTGTAGTCCTCTTTTGCAGAATAAGTGTGTTTGTGCATATTTGTAGGTCAAACCTTTAGCAACACTGAAAAGCACTTAATGCTCCTACAGGAGGGTCGTGTGTGTGCATGTGTGTGCAGCTGAGTGACTTATTAGCTGACTGCTTTGAGTTTAAAGATTCAAGGACAAGACTTACTTGGCTTTTTTTTTTTAAATATTACCCCAACAATAATTAAGCTTTGTTTGAAATTTAATAGAGCATCTCTCTAAAAAGCCAGAAATGCACAGGGGTAATAAATATTTAGAGAAACTGCATGCCACAGTCATACCTCCACCACAGGTTCCAGTAACCCTGCACAAGTAAACGTCCACATGGTTTGATACAAGCTGCAACAGTGAGCTCAGAGTCCAGGCCTGAGCATGTGCACAGGAGCTCGTTGAAGGTATATTCATTTTATTTTCATCAACAAATCCCACGAAACCATCAAACTGTCTGATCGATGTGTCCCGTCTGGTGCTCAGCCTTTAACTTGTTGGCGTCGGCTCTGACAACAATGCTCCACTTACTTCACAGCGAACTTCATTTGCTTCGAATTTTTCAAAAGGAAATTCTTCTCTTGGAAAAATATTGTAACTAGGCTGTTCTTGTTGTAGTTTGTTGGCATCTAGTGCCACCATGATGTTTTTGTCCTTGTCTGTAGTGATAGCAGAATCTTTCATGAACCAGAGGACGGGTTCGAATGAAAATCCAACAATCATTGGTTGTGCATCGACAATTGATTACTTTTGGAGGCTGTCCAGCTCAAGATGGCTGCCACAGCCATTTAGCCTTCTGAATTTTACAGAAATTGAGCTGAAATTAGTTCTGTTAGTAGCTGAGCATCATCCCCAACATCTACTTGGATAATATGTAGGCATTAACTATTGGTCGTCTGTTTTTTAGCTAAATATCTCATGAACTGCTGGACAGGTTTTTGTGACACTCAAGTTTAAGCGTTGACTCTACATCTATAACTCATTTAACTTTAGGAGTCAACTCAATTTAAGATAGCTAACACAGCTAACTGACTTTGGCTTACACGAACACAATTCTAATCCCATTATACAGATGTTGAGCTCATTCTGGTGTGGGAGTAGCTGAGAATCATCCACAACACAACTCTGGGTAACGTTGATGTCTGAACTGTTTCTCATGCACAACTTCAGAGCTGTGAGGCTCAGGGGATAACATGGACTACAGCCAACCGTTAACTGATGGTTTGGGCTTTATTCATGAGATTTGTTGACAAGTCAAAGAACAGAAGGTACCAAACAATAACTGTATTTTGTCACTCTGACCTCTTATTTGCATCCCACAATATGACTTTTGGAATATAAAATTGGATTACAGTCCTTTTTTCTGCTAAAGTCCCTGCATAATGTCACTTGCTTCAATAATTCAGTCACCTGCGGCCTCCTGGTCCAGGGTTCGTTGGGATCTGGGCAGTACTGAGGCAGCAGAAATATCAAACAAAGCTAAAGAAAGTGTGCCTACGTGTCCATTTGGTCCTCGCCCACTAACGGCTAATGCCTGATTTTAACAATTTGCTGACATCATTATGATGGACAATTTGCCCAGTTTTGAGCTGAAGCCTTCCAGTTCGCTTCACATTGGTGTTTGAACGACTGCGTGTGTCCCACGGGTTTTTCTGGTCGTGTGTGGAAACATCGCTGCTGCTATTTCTGTCGCTGCTGCTACCGCTGCTTTTCATGGCCACTCCCCCTCTGCTCATCTTGTTCCCTCTTCTATAGCTAGGAAAACGCTCAGACCCTCTGTAGTCACGACCACAGGTACTGGGACTCGTATGACTCGGTTCAGAGAAGTGGAGGCACATCAGCCCACCACTACAATTTTTTTCCCAACACTTGGGGCGTCTGACTACACAGAGCTGCTTCAAACTTCAATTTCTTCCATGGTTTTCTTTTTTTCCAGCTTGTTCCTTCTGTGCAGTCATAGCTCGTAAATGGAGGATAAATGAGATGAATTTTATGTTTTCTACAAGGAGGTTTGCATGTTACTAATATGTGAGTAAATACGGTGCCTAACGTTCATGTTTGAGCAGATCACACCTTCGTCACACTGCTGCTTGGAATCTGTGCAGATGCTTTACCTGGGTGGGAGACACCCCCAGTCAGACAGACGGGAGCGAGTGTGCTCAGCCTGTTTTTAAATGTAGGTTTCTGGTCATATGTCTTAAGTTTGAATCTAATCTTAAATTTCAT